TGGGTCTGAGGGAGGAGGGGCTGGGGGCCTGAGTCCTGGGTCTGAGGGAGGAGGGGCTGGGGAATGGACCCCTGGGTCTGAGGGAGGAGGGGCTCAGGCTCAGACTCCTGGGTCCTGTTGGAAGGTGTCCCCGTTCTAACCCTTCAGTGCCCCCCTACAGCTAGGTTGCCCAACCTTCTGCAATGCGTGAACGTCAACATCATCTCCCATCAGAGGTGTCAGCAGGCCTACCCTGGAGCCATCACTGCTGGCATGGTCTGTGCAGGGGTCCCCCAAGGAGGGAAGGACTCTTGTCAGGTGAGGCCCAGGGAGACAGCCTGAGGAAGGGGGTTGTTTGGGGCTGGAACTTACAAAGGACCTCAAGAGCATGAAGACCAGTGGTGCTCCCCCCGCCTCCAACCCAGAGACCAAGAAGGGTTGTGATAACCAGGCTGCCTCCTAGCTGCTTGCCCTGAGTAATGGACCTAACCTTCCGGGCCTCAGTTTCCTCACCTGCCCCACAGGCATAGCATGGCTTAGTTGGTGGAATTAGATGGACTGGTCCACGGAAGGAGTACAGAGCTCTGATCACTGCTGTCACTGCCATCATTACATATGGGCACCTAGACAGCTGTGCTCAGGGCCTCTAGGGAGCGTCACCTGTCCTGAGAGATGACTCCAGAGACAAGAGATCTGGAGGCACACAGGTTTCTGGAGATGGAGCTAAGTGGAACAGGGGCCCAAGAGACCCAAGGGACCGAGACAGAGTGGGAACTAGTGAAGAGGGAAGGAAGAGACCCACAACGCCCAGGGGCTGAGATGTCCAGTCTCAGCCCACCCCCGCCCTATCTTTGCCTCTCGGGCTCTCCACACCCACAGCTCTGGCCATCTGTTGGTGGGTGTCTCCATCTCTGCCTCTCCCCACTCAGGGTGACTCCGGGGGACCCCTGGTGTGCAGAGGTCAGCTCCAGGGCCTCGTGTCCTGGGGGATGGAGCACTGTGCCCAGCCTGGCTTCCCCGGCGTCTACACCAACCTGTGCAAGTACCACACCTGGATCCAGGAAACCATGCGAAGCAGTTCATAGCCGGTGTGGCAGAATGCCACCTCCCCGCCTGCTTCCCAAGACCCTGCTCTTTCCAGTCAAGACCCAGGAAGGTTGGCCACCAGCTCCTCCTCCCTCAGACCAAGACCCCAGCATCCTGACCCTGACCCCTGGCTCAGAACTCCCCTCTCCCAGAGCAGTTCCTTCAGGGGTTCTCTCCCCACCCCCACAACACCCCATCATTATTCAAGGTGTCCCTAAGTCACACAGAGCAGGAGCATGAAGACAAAAGGCACTGAACTGTTACCGTATTCCAAGGGAGACAATTTTCAAAACTCTTAGTGTCTCTCAAAACTGGATAAATACTACTAATAAAATTTTAACAACCCTAAGTTCCATTCATCTGTTCATTTAATTCATCTACGATGAGCACAGAGCAGCCCCAACAGACCGAGTCAGGAGCTGTGTCCCAAAAAGAGGTGCACGGTGTCCCCTGGGGGTCTGCCCCCTCACCATCCACTGTACCTGGTATGGTAGAAAGAAACGCCTCAGCCTTGCAGTGTGGCCCTGAGCAGGACTGCCCCTCCCCAAGCCTCCTCTCTGAAGTCCAGGGCAGGGAGGGCAAAGACCTACCTTGTTTCCTGGAAAACTCTATTCAAATAGAGAGGTCCTCATTTTCTTAATCAGATCTCAGTGAGGAGAGTTGAATTAATCACACCCTTGAGTGCAAGTCCTGACAGAGACCTGTCCTCCTTGGCCCTGGTCCCCTCCCTCCCCACAGGCACCAACACAAATGGCCTCAAATACCAAGCGTCCTTGGAACATGGGTGTTGTCACATTGTGTTGCTTCTAATTTGCATGAAATCACTGTGTTCTGAATCTCATTCTCTTTCTTTGTTTATTTTAAGTTTCATTTATCATGTATTTTAAAATGCAACAATTAATTAACAGATGGATGAACAAACCCAGTTACTCCCCTCCCCTAACTCTGCTCCAGTCCCAACCAGTATATCTATTTTTTTGGTAGTGTCTTTGTCTGGTTTTGGTATCAGGGTGATGGCGGCTTCAAAGAATGAGTTTTCAGTCTTTTGGAAGAGTTTGAGAAGGGTCGGTATGCGTTCTTCTTTGTATGTTTGGTAGAATTCCCCAGAAAAGCCATCTGGTCCTGGACTTTTTTTTTTTGAAGTGCAGTCAATTACCATGTGTCTATCTCTGGTGTACAGCACAATGTTCCAGGCATGCATATCCATACATATATTTGTTTTCATATTTTTTCCATTAAAGGTTATTATAAGATATTGAATATAGTTCCCTGTGCTATACAAAAGAAACTTCTTAAAATCTATTTTTATATGTAGTTGGTCCTGGACTTTTGTTTGTAGGGAGGTTTTCTATTGCTGATTCTATTTCATTTCTAGTGATTTCTAGTGGTCTGTTCAAGTGGTCTATTTCTTTTTGATTCAGTCTTCGTGGATTGTGTGTTTCCAGAAACTTATCCATTTCTTCTAGGTTGTCCAATTTGTCTCCATATAGTTGTTCATAGTATTCTCTTATTTATTTATTTATTTTTGTATTTCTGTAGTACTGGTTGTTCATTCTCTTTCTTACTTTCATTCAAGAATGGCTTTTACTGGGTACCTCCTACATGCCAGGCTCTGGTCTATTTATGGGCACCTACTACATGCCAGGCGTTGTTCTAGGTGCTGGAAGTAGAGCTGTGAACACACCAGGCAAATCCGAATGCTTCTCCTCCCAGAGCTTACATTCTAGTAGGAGGTGACAGACAAGAAACAATAAGCATAATTTAAAAGTAGAGAGTCCCTATAAATAAAAAGGCCATTACACTTGGGCTGGGCGGCAGGCCCTGTCTGTGTGCCAGAGCCAGCTCACACCACCCTGGATGAATGAGCCTGCTGGCAAATTTGCAGGAATTCAGAGAGGCCGTTGCTAAACACAGCCATTTATTAAAAATTCAATTACATAAACTTACAATTAAATAATGTATTTTCAAAAGTCAATAAATACTCCAAACCCATCCATTCATAATAATTTTTTACAGATATCTCTGCTTGGAGGCTGTTTATATCTGTCACATAACTTCTGTCATGGTGAGCATCTGCACATCCCTTCCCAACTGTCCCTCTTCTCATGGTTCTGTGCTTGGATGCTGCAGAACTCAGATACAGTAGGAGGCTGTGTGGCCACACAAGTGTTCACCTGCTTTGCACAGGGGGACAGCACGGCATCAGAAAGTCCTGAGACCCAGAGGTCTGGGACCTGCCTGCTACAGCAGCTCAAAAGGTTGCTGGAGGGGGAGGGGGGAATATAGCCAACATTTTACAATAACTATAAATGGAACATAACCTTTAACAATTGTGAATCACTCTGTCATACACCTGTAACATATAATATTGTACACCAACTATACTTCAGTCAAAAAAGAAAAAAATGTTGCTGGGAAGTGGAGACTGCACCTTTCTTTGAGGTGATACAGCCACACCTTGGCTCTCACATAGGGTGGCCATACGGGCTCTGAGAAGGAAAGGGGTTGAAAGCAGCTGTGTACTTGAGTAGTTTTGGGCCCCCAGAGAGATGAAGATACAGCCCATGCTGTAATTCTTTGCATCCTTCTATAAAGCTAAGTAAAAGGAGTTTAAAGATCACTTTAATCAGATTTCCAACTCGTCTTTCCAGCTGTGATGGTTGAGCACCCTATTGTATTGCTTCTCAGATGCACATTCCTCTCCCATTTTTAACATCTCTGAAAGCAGAAGGCATCTTACAACTAACCGACAGCGTTCTGTCTTAGCATGGCATCCCAATTCAGTCGACAGCTCCTTTTCCTTTCTTAGTGGTATACAAAACAATAGTGTCAATCAATCGAAGCATTTGGTGAAATGGGGTATGAAGGAAGGTGAGTGTGGGTGAGGAGTCAGGTTGCTGTATTAAACAGGTGATCTTATTTCACCAAAGATGGCCAGAACGGTGTGTTAACAGTCTATCTATGTTGTCGTCTGCTCATCTGGTATGTTACTCCTCACTGCCACGGTGTCCTCTCAACCCATGCTGTCCAATATAGTAGCCACTAGCCACGTGTGGTCATTTAATTTTTAAGCTAAGATTAGCTAGATTTTATACACATTAAGATTCCATTCCTCGATCACACTCATCATCTTTCTGATGCTTGATAACCAGACATGGCTGCCATATTGGACAGCTCAGAGAACTAGATTTCCATCATTGCGAAAGTTCTATTGGACAGGAATACTTTAGTCTACTGTGGTCCAGGGAACAGCAGTATGGGAATTATCTGGAGCTCATTGGAAATCAGAGTCTTGGACCTCAGCCCAGACCAACTGAATCAGAATCTGCATTTTAACAAGATCCCCAGGGGACTCATGCTTGTTAGAATCTGAAAAGCACCACTCCATGGTATGCCTCTACCATGTGTCCCCAGAGATGGACATCTACGGTCCTTCCACTACCTAAGCAACAGTGCAACAACTGTTTGGGGAGCATGCCCCTTAAATACCAACAGAAGACGTCTCTGGAATATTCACAGGAGCAGGACCATTGGACCAAAAGGCGTAATCTTAATCAATTTCCTCAGGTACTGGCAAGGTTTCATCCAGATAAGGATTCAAGCTGAGGGAGGGATAAATTAGGAGTTTGGGATTAGCAGATACAAACTACTATATATAAAATAGATTGGAGGTGGAGGGTATAGCTCAGTGGTAGAACATATGCTTAGCAGTCACAAGGTCTTGGGTTCAATCCCCAGCACCTCCATGAGAAATAAATGAATGAATGAATAAATAAACTAATTAGCACCCCACACACAAATTTTCAAAATAAAATAAGATCCTACTGAATAACACAGGGAACTATATTCAATATCTTGCAATAACTTGTAATGAAAAAGAATGTATATATATATATATATATATATATATATATATACATACATATATATGTGTAACTGAATCACTATGCTGTACACCAGAAACTAACACAATGTTGTGAATCAACTATACCCCAATTAAAAAAAAAAAGGATTTGTATCTCCCTACACCCTCAACAATACCTATAGTTCATTCATTCAGCAAATATTCATTGAATCCTATTATTTGCCAGGTATTGTTCCAGGAACAAAGCAGATAATATTGTTGCCTTCGGAGAACTCACTTCTAGAGGAGAGCCAAACAAGAAACAAATGGGTAAGTAAAACATAAAGAATCACAGATGGGAGTAAGTGCGTTGGAGAAAAGTGAAGCGGAGTAAGGAGACAGAGAATGTCAGAGAAGGTGATCATTTTAAGCAGGTGGCTGTGCAGTGAGGGGTTAACACAGCAAGACTGTGTCGTCCAAACCCTGAACATTACAAAGAAAAGTTTGGCCCTTGCCTGACTTCCGGAGATAACCTCTGAGCCCTTGGCACATTCTGCCTATTGGCAGTGTCCTTGTCCACCTGGGGGCCTTGGGCTATGCAGATGGGTATCCAAGTAAGGTCACTTGTTGTGGAGGTCTAGGGGCATGTTTGACCCGTGGAGGGGCTGGAGACTGAGGTCAGCCATGCCAGGGGACAGCCACGTATCTGCGTGACTGACCCCCCAGCAAAAACCCAGATACCGGGACTCAGCTGAGCTTCCCTGGTGGACAACATCCTGTGCGTGTCATCACACACTGTTGCTGGGCAAGGTGAGCATGGTCCAGACAACGCCACCAGGAGAGGACAGCTGGGAGCTGGCGCCTGGTCTCTCCAGGCCTCAGCCCTGTGTGCCTTCCTGTTTTACTGTGATAAACCAAATCGGTGAGCCCAGGAGTTTTTCTGAGTTCTGTGAGTCCTTCCAGTGATCCCCTGAACCTGTCTCAGGGATCCCCAGCTACAGTGGTCAGGGAAGTCTTCAGGGAGAGGATGACAAGAATGGAAGAAACCAGGCAGAGGCCTGATTTGGAAGCGGGCTCCAGGAGTGGGAACAACAGGTATTCAGGTTGTGAGGTGCGAGCGCGCCTGGCAAAAGCAGGGCTGGAAAAGAAGAGAGGGTAGATGACGTCAGAGGACTACTGGAGCCAGATGGCGTGGAGCCCTCTCTGCCACCATAAGAAAACCTGACTTTCATTCTGAGTGAGATGGGAGGCACTGCAGGCTTTTGAGAAGAGGAATGACCTGCCCTGACTTACGTTTTGAAAGATCGCCCTGGTGGTTGTGTTGTAAATAGAGTGTAGGCAGACAAGGACAAAAACAAGACCAGGTGAGAAACTGGAGGTAACCCAGGTGAGAGATGATGGTGGCTGGGAGGGACGAGGGTGGCAGGGACGGCAGGTGTAGAGAAATGGTCTGATTTGGGATCTGTTTTGAAGGTAGAGCTGGCAAGGTTTGGTAACAAAATGGATGTGAGAAAAGGGACTCAAGAAGGAGACTAGGGTTTTGGCCAAGGACTATGGAAGAATAAAGGGACCCTTTACTGAGAAGACCAAGGCTGTCAGAGGAGGCTATCTGGAACGTGCCAGGGCGGAGGACAGGAGTCTGGTTTTGAACGTGAATTTGTTGAGTAGGCAATTGGCTGTTCAGAGCGAGGTCTGGATGGAGACATAAAATTTGGGAGTCGTCAGCATGTTGATGGTATTTAAATCCACGAGAGCCAATGAGGTCACCGAGGGAGTGAGCGTAGACACAGAGGACCCAGAGGGCCAAGTGCTGAGCCCTGGGGTGCTCCACCATGGAGAGGTTGAAGACAGGAGGACAAAACAGCACCAGACATGGACAAGAAGCAGTCAGTGAGTTATGAGGCAGACGAAGAAGGGGTAGCATCTCAGAAGCCGAGGGAAGACTTGGAAGGAAAAGGGAGTGATCCACTTGTTAAACGCTGCTGATAACTCAAGTAAGATGAACCCCAAAGAGCTAGCTGATGGGTTCTGCAACATGGGTGCCCTTAACTGGGCCATAGTTGGTGGAGTAGCCGGGGAGGAGGTTCGCATGGAGTGGGCTCACGGGACAACAGGAGGAGAGGACCTGCAGACAGTATGTGTGGCCAAGGTTTCAGAGAATTGCAGTCAGGGGCACCAAAACTGGACCAGGGTGGAAGGAGAGCATGAAGGTTAAGAGAAGGTTTTTTTGTTTTTTTTAATTCTTTTGATGGAATGTGGGAGAAATTGTAGCATGTTTGTGTGTTGATGGGACTGCTCACTGGGGAGGAAAGAAACTGATGATGCAGGCAAGGGAGCAGAGAACTGATGGCGGGAACTATGTCCTCAGGGAGGTGAGAGGGGATGGGATACCGGGCACAGGTGGAGGGGTCCGTCTTAGACGGAGGCAAAGACTGTTCATCTATAGACATGGGAGAGGAGGCAGAGGATGCGGGCACAGATGCAGGTAGATGGCAAGACTGACCTTTCTAGTTTTTGCTATTCTGATGGGTGGAAAGTGGTGTTTTTCGCTGCTGCATGACAAAGACGATGACTGGGGCCAACATCCTTAATCAAGTGGATCCAGCTCTAAAGAAAAACTCACAGGTCTCAACTTCTCTCCAAAAGCCCAAGTCTGGTTTCTCCCCAGGCGTCTCTCTGTCTTTCTACCTCTAAGGCCTTTGTGCCTTTGTCTCTCCCTGCGCTTCCTCTGCCCTCTCCCATCCACCCTGTTTTTCTATTTGTGTATTTATCCCTTTGTGTCTTTCTCTGTCTCCCCCTCCTTTCACGTTTACATTGGGACCTCTGCTCCAGGCCTGGGTGTGGGGCCAACTTTCTCGTCCCAGCCAGCACTTCCAACCAGAACTTCCAGTTCCTACTTGACAAAAGAACTCCATTTTGAAGCCAGGCTAGGGTGGGGCCCCCAGGAACCTCGCGCTGCCTCCATCTCTGGCTTTACTTAATGAACAAGCACATTTGTGGCCCTTGGTTTGTGTCAGACTCTTGTCTAAGTGCCTTCAAATATTAACTCACTTAACCCTCCTCTATGAGGCATGTACTGTTGACAACATCCATCTACAAATGGGACACTGAGGCACAGAGTGGCCACGTCACTTGAAAGCAGGCAGTTTCGCTCAAGAGTCTCAGCTCTGAACCACTAGGAACACCGTCTCTTCTTCTAGTCCGTACTCCTTCTTTCTCCAGCCCTGCTCTCTGAGGAGGAAAGACCCTGATCTATGAGACGGTATACCTGGATTTGGTCTGGTTGTTGCGTGGCTTGCAGCAGCTCACTGACCCTGTGGGCTCCAGCTGCCCTATCGGTCAAGTGAGGGGGTGGAAGGCATCCAGTCGTTGGTGGGTCCAGACCTCCCTTCAACAGGAGTCAGTCAATCATAAGCCCTGAAATCAGTGTTGACCTGGTGCTCACCCCTTAGCAAATGCCAAAGCCAGCCACTTCGACTCCAGGTTCCAGCCCTTCCCAAGTGAAAAAGGCTTTTTTCTGGACCCAAGCCACAAGAGGGCACAGGAACCCCGACTTCCCACACAAGCCTGTTACCTCGCTTAACCTGGCATCCTTCCTCCTGTCACTCAGCCTGAACTCCACTCTACTCAGAAAGAGTGAACCCAGTCCCCACTCTGGGCCCAGCCCTGGAAGGTGGGGTAATTCCCAGGTGGGGAAAGACAGCAGCCTCTCTGTCACCTTGAGAGGCACTCACAGCTCTGACCCACCCTGCTCCCACCAAAACCCTACCCCCAACACAGACGCTCGACAGCACATCTCATCTTCAGCATCAGCGTCAACCCACAACACCAACTCCACTTTATTTCAACACCTCCCCATCCAAAGCCTCAGCTTTGGCCCCATCTTCAGCCCCAACCCAACAGGGCTCCATCAACAGCCGTATCCCCAGGTCTCCCTCATCTACAACTCAATCCTATCGCCAAAACCCAACTCTCACCCCATCCTCACCCCGTGTTCACTCTCTTCCCCAAACTCAATTGCATCCCCGACACTGTCATCAGAACTCCCCTAACCCCCTGCTAAACCTGACCACAGACTTCTCCTCCTAGGGGAGGGAAAACCTGTGAAAGACTTGAAGATATATCCAACAGATATCATCAGTGAAAAACTAGACAGGTTATCCGATTTTATGAGGTCTGTTTCTTTCACTGTCTTTGTGCTGCTTTACAACTCTGTAAATTATAACTATATAAAAATATAAATAATTCTTGTCCATAACTGTGCAAATGAGTTTTGTCAGGGGGAAGTGCAATTCCCTCCCTTCCATATAGAATAAGCCAGTTTTGCCTCTATTTGTAAATTCATTTCAGCATTCCTTATTGCCTGTACCTGTGTGGTTCTTTCCTAGATCCATCATTTATTAATGAATCAAGACAACGTCTTTGATATTTGCTCATTTTCTAGATGCAGGAAGAGTCATGGCTAGATCATTTTTTGAAAAATTATCTTTTAACACTAGATTGGACCCCTATGTCCAAACTGTAACTCCCCGGTATGGACCACACCAGTTTTGTTTGTTTCTTTGTTTTTGTTGGGGGGAGTAATTAGGTTTATTTGTTTGTTTGTTTTAATGGAGGTCCTGGGGATTGAACCCAGGACCTTGTGCAGCATGCGCTCTACCCCTGGGCTATGCCCTGCCCCCTGGATCACACCAGTTTTGATGTGAACCCTTATTTCATCCATCTCAACCCTTTATCCTTATCATAACACCACTGTGTCTCTCTAACTAAACTCCAACTGGTCTCCATCCCTGGCTTCCTTCAGAATTCTGACCCCACCTCTGTCCTCCATAATCCCTAATCCTGCCCCCTCCACCCCCTAGGATTAACTCATGGCCCCACCCAGTCACAGTTCCAGGAGACACCTACTCCTTCCTGAAACAACATCTCTTCCTCCTTCCTCTTCCCCCTCATCCCAGCGCCCCTCCCACAACTGAGTTTTCCGATTCTTGCTTCTTTCTCCCCACCTTCATCTCCACATGAACTCCCTCACCCCATCCAGCCCTGCTCCTAAAAGGCCATTTATCCGAAATATTGTTTTCCCAGGTCCAATCCCTGCCCCATCCAAGCCCAAGTTGACTTTCTACCCACCCATCTGAAGAGTTCTTTCTTGTGTCTGAAGGGTAGAAAAAATGCGGCATTTCTGTGTGTTTAAGAAGAAAAAGGCCTGGAGATGGAGTTGGGGCTACAGATGAGGCTGAGTACTGAAATTCAGCCGTGTTGGGTTTGCTGTAGAGCGTTTCAATGGGATTGGGTCTCAGGGATAGGCTGATGATAAGGGATTCGGTTAAAATTAGGTAGTGAGTTGAGAATGGGGAGCTGACCTATATTAAGAACATGCATAGGGTTGGAGGGGAGATAGTGGGATGGAAAATGGGTTGATGTTAGGGAAGTCCATAGGGATTTCATGTGGGCCTGGGGAGAGAAATGAGCCTTTCCCTTCCCTCCAGGTGGGTCTTGCTGCCTGAAAGTTCACAGTGGGTTCTACTCGGGCTTGGGCGGGCTTGGGCGGACCTAGATCTGGTCTTAGCTTGTCCTGGAAGCTCCGCCCCACGCGGAGGGCCAAGCCCAGGCTGGGGGGTGCCTGGCGACAGCCTGCTGAGCCATTGGGGGTGGAGAGGGGAAGGCCAGCAACAGGGAAATGCTGAAGGCGCTGGGGGAGGGAGTTCAGGGGTTAAAAGCCATGGGTCGGGGCTGAAGTTGGAGGCAGCTGGCAGAAGCTCTTCACCAGGGCCCCTGACCCAGGTAGGGTCTGCCTGGGTCCGGGGGAGAGCACTGGAGGGGAGGAGGGGAGGGGAAAGAGGGAAAGAGCTGAGTCAGGGAGATGGAGACAGAAGCCAGAGGCTCGGTTCTAGAGATAGAAATCTGCAGAGGTGTTGAGAGGTGAATGAAGCACGCGGATGCTCAGTGTGAGACCAGCCGCCTGGGACCCACCTAGAGAGGGGAGAAAGGGGACGAAGGGGACGGAGAGGGTCAAGAGAGGCAGGACGGTGCACAAGGACCCAGCATGCTGGAGGGCAGGCGTGGAAGGGCTGGCCACCTGGGACGAGGGGCTGCAAGCCGGAGCGGGACGGGGCGGGGCGTGGGGGGGAGGTGCTTGGGAGAGCGGGGAGGGCTACAGGGGGAGGAGTGCAAGCCGCCCCTTCCGCCTCATTACTGCTCCCCCCCAAAGATGGAACTGGGGGTGAGGGTGAAGATTCCAGCATCAGAGTTTTCAGAGTAAACGAGAGGAGGTTCAATACTGAGAATTGCGGGAGCAGAGGTGGGTGGTGTCCAGAGATGGGGGTTCCGGCCAGCCCTTAACATGTCCTTCAACTTCTCAGGCTCTGAGCGCCCTGCCCTCCACCTCAGAGTCGCCATGTGGCCCCTGGCCGCCGTCACTGCCTTCCTGACCGCGGCCTTGTCAGGAGGTAAGAATGCGCGGGGGTGGAGGCGGGGTGGCCACTCCAGACAATGGTAGGAGGTATGGGAGGGGGAGGGGAGGGGGCGGGGAAGCCGCGAGCTCCGCCCCCGCCCACTAGGGCCGGGTCCTGCCTGGACACGCTGAGAGCTTCCTGCTTGTCCCTGCGTGACCTGGTTTCCCGGCTGGGGTCTGCCCCCTCTCCCCACCGACCTCTCCCTGGGGCATCTCAGTTCAGATGGGCCCGCCCTATTTTTAAAGTCTTCTAGATCTTCCGCACTAGCGCCTTTCCTGATTATCCTACTCTGCCCTGGAAAGTCCACCCCAAACCCCTCCCTCGTCCAAGGCCTCCCTGAGAGTTAGACGAGACATACACGGGTTCAAATCCTGACGCTGCCACTTTGAGCAAGTAGCTCAGCTTCCTTCTTTCAACTGTAGAATGGGAACATTAAGTCCTTAGCACAAAGGGTGGCTGTAAATATTGAAATGAGGCAACACACGTTGTCATGGGCATAGGAGATGGAAGAGCCTGGAAAGTTAGTCGTTATTACGACTTTATTAGTATTCTGTCTCCATTCTCAGGAACTTCCAGGACCTTCTAGTGTGTTCTTTAATCCTTGGGGTGACCTCAGATTTATGATTCTGCCCAGAATTGGCCCCCAAAGATTCCACTCCTCACATTTAAGCCCTTTCCCTGTATTTACAGGCAAGTTTTCTGGAAACCCCCATTCATGCATCATGCATTCATTCAACAAACAACTGTAGAGCACCAGGCACTGTGCTAGGTGCTCTACAAGCAGAGACACAGTTCCTGCTCTCAGTACCCAGATCCTAGTACAGATGGATGCAGCCATCATTCAAATAATTACCCAAGTGATTAGATAATAATTAGAACAGTGTTGCGAGGTGATAGCTTCAAGGAACTAATCCAAAAGAAACCGAGAGATGTAATGGCAATTCCTGGCCTGGAAGGGGTCCCCCAAAGGACCTGACCCTTGAGCTGGTACCTGGAGGAGGGGTAGGGGCCTCAGGCACCCATCACCACCCTGGGCCGGAAGGTGGGGTGGCTTACCTCCTTTGTTGGCATTCCCAGGATTCATGCCTGTGTCCTCAGCCCTCCTGGGTACCAAGCCTCAGGCTGGGAGCTCCACCATTTTGTGGAACCCTCACTGGCCTTATGAGATAGCTGCACGAATTACCCCAGTCTCACAGCTGAAAAGCCCAGGATTCTGAGGCACCCGGTGGTGCCTGAGTCAGGACCCTAATCCATCTTGCCTCTGCCCTGTCTGTCACACCGTGCACGCCAGCAAATCATCATTATTTTAAACCTAATGGTCTTCTTAGAGGCAACTTTTTTTTTTCACTTGAGGCATATTTAAAGTTTATATCACTGTCCTTATGGAAAACAGCATCCTTTGCTATAAGTAAAAGCTAAGAGGAAAAAAAAATCAATCCTGCACAATGAACCCAAAACAATATGTTTCATTTCCACCAGGGATTGCCAATAGTTGACCCTTTTTGACCTCCCACAAAATGATTCAACTTAATTTTTAGGTTGCTGGAGGAAGACAACTTTTGCTTTCTCCTGGTTTTAAAAAGTTAATTTGGTGAAACTAGATAGGTATTTTTTAAGCTATCAATATTTTATTAAGCAGAATGGCATAACCTCCTATCTTAGCTTTATAGTAAAATTGTTAGCAATGACGTATAAGATTGAAAAGCAACAATGCCACACACACACACACACACACACACACACACACACACACACAAAAGCATATTAAGCTTTTAAGCATATTACTACCACTGTGAGACTTTCTCCTGACAAAAATCAGAATTGAAAGAGAAATGATGGTGATTCAGTTTCTGAGGGTGCTATTAATAACAGTCCCCACTCACTGAGTGCTCACTCTGAGCCAGGTCCTGTCGTGTCTTCGATGTAAGATCTTATGGATCCTACAACTGCCCTGTGAGAGACAGGCTATTACTCTTCCTTCTTTACAGCTAAGAAAACTGAGGCTGGAGACTCGTACAGGATCACCCAGCCAGAAAGTGGCACATTCAGGATGAGGCTTTCTCTGTCCTTTTGTCCACTGCTGTGGTTCCAGTGCCAAGCACAGTGCCTAGCACAAACACCATCCATTGGTTGAGCACCGACTGTGTGCTGGGTGCTGTCCGAGGTCCTGGGGGTGCAGCACTGAACAGAGCAGTTAGGGTGCCTGTTGTCAGTGGTCCTTACAGTCAAAGTGAGGAGACGAAATGCAAACAAGTATAAAGAGAAATGCATAGTGACTGTAGCTATGATGAAACTCAACTAGGGGGATGTCTCGGGGAATAAGGGGGGTGGGGGGCTAAGAGGGGCAGTATTGGACTAGGTGGCCAGGGACCTGGGATGGCTTCTCTAAGGAGGTGACATCTGAACTTGGCTCTCAGAGTCAAAAGGGACCCAGACATGTAACATTTAGATTCTGAGTGCCATCCGGCAGACTATTTCACATGTATGATGTCCTATATCTGCACTGTGCTATGTGGTAGCTACTGACCGTGTGGGGCTATTGAACATTTCAAATATGACTGGTGTGATTGAAGAACTGAATTTTTTATTTCATTTAAATTGAGGTAGCCACTTGTGGCTGGTGGCTACTGTACTGAACAGTGCAGGTCTAGAGAAAGAACTGTCCATAAAGAAGAGGCTGCAAGCACAATGGTCTGGTATGTTTGAAGAACAGGTCCATGAGTGTGGAGCAGAGTGAGTGGAGAGGTGAGGGAAGGGGTTAAAGAAGCTAGCAAGGGTCAGATGATGCAAAGTCCTTCAAACTTTGAATTTGGAAGTAGTTAGCCTATGAATGGTATTTAAAGCCTTGGAGCCACCTAATAAAATATGTGTTAAAAGGATGGAGGGTTGGATGGATGGATGGATGATGGATGGATGCATGGACGCATGGATGGATACTGCCTGGGTAGATATGTAGGTTAGACTCACTTCTACCTCCTGAAATCTGTCCCCAGGCTGGAACAAGAGAGAAAATTTAGTTGGGAAGAAAGTCCGTCTTTGGCTTACCTATCAGAAGCATCCCCATTCTATGGTATCTTCTTTTAACCTCCATTGGAGGGTTTGGCACTTCTACAGAAAAAGACATCACCTCTTTGCCCTGACTCATCTCCACTACATAGAAAATGGCAACTCCAAGAGACCCACAAATAAACAAATGTGTCACCCAGAGCAAAATTCTGACTGCGTCTCCAAGCCCAGGGACCACAACTCCAGGCCTCCTTTCCCTGGGAGCCCCAGTTCTCTAACATTCTCTCTTCTTCACCAGGCATCCCTCGGGAGTATCCCAAGATTCTCAATGGCACCAACGGGACCAATGGGTTTCTCCAGGGTGGCTACACCTGCCTCCCCCACTCTCAGCCTTGGCAGGCAGCCCTGCTAGTGCAAGGGCGGCTGCTCTGCGGGGGAGTCCTGGTCCACCCCAGATGGGTCCTCACTGCAGCACACTGTCTAAAGGAGTATGTGGGGGCCGGGGGAGCTTCGGGTAGGGATGAGACTGGGACTGGGGTGGTGGGTGGGTGGAGCTGAATTTGAGGATGAGGTTGGAGTTGAGTTGGGATGGGCACAGGGGTGAGAATGAGTTTGGAGGTGGAGATGTGGGGGTTGGGTGTGGGAGTGGAGTCAAAGTAGAGGATTTGGATGGGGTTGGACTTGAGAGTGTGGAAGGAGACATGTTTGGAGAAGCGGAAGGTGGGATCGGGAAGGGTTAGACTGGGGATGGAGATGGGCTCCTGAGGTCCTCTAACAACCCTCTTCCTGCACCCACAGGGGATACGCAGTATACCTGGGCAAGCATGCCCTGGGGTGTGTGGAGGCTGGAGAGCAGGTGAGGGAGGTAGTTCGATCTATCCCCCACCCTCACTACCAGATCAGCCCCACCCACCTGAACCATGACCACGACATCATGCTTCTGGAACTGCAGTCCCCCGTCCAGCTCACCAGCCACATCCAAACCCTGCCCCTCTCCCGCGATGACTGCCTCCCTCCTGGCACCAGCTGCCTGGTGTCTGGTTGGGGTACCACCACCAGCCCCCAGGGTATGCACCCACACATGTGGCCTGAGGTCTCACAGTTTGTCTGGGGAAACTGGGGCAGAGATGGGAGGATAGGTTGGAGGATTCTTTATAAATAAAAAATTTAAAATATATGCTTGTATATGTGATAAATCAGATATCACATATATAATGTATATAATATATAAAGTTAAATCTATTTTTCATATAAATATAAGTGTATAAATATATAAAATTGTAAAATGTTATAGATAATATATAATGTATAGTTTTATATATCCTTATAGAATATATAAATATGAAATTTAACTGTATAATTAGTTATTTATGATATATTATGTATCATATATGATATAGTTATTATCCTTTATATAAATATACATAAATTTATGAATATAAAGTTATGTATTACATATATGTTATACACCATATATAAAAGTATGTTTCCTTTATAAAATGTATATAAATTTATACATATATAAAATATACACTATATAGTATAGACACATATTTTATTTAAATGGATATGCATAATTATACATCTGTATTTAAATATATAAATTATAGAAATTAGATTTATTTCTTAATCTATAAATGATATGTTTATGTATTTATTTAAATATACTTGTATATAAATAATCTATACATTATACATAAATACATATTTAAACATAAATATATCATTTATAATTTAGAAATAATTTAATATATTGATTATATATTCATTAAATACAATAACTATAAATATATCTTTTGTATATAAATTATGTACATATGAACATAAAGTTGAACTCTATAGCAACGAGAGCCCTTCACATCTCCTTAGCAGCCAGTCTCATTTCCATATCTTTCTTCCCAACGTGCTCCATCCTTCTCTCCACCACTCTTTCCCACTTTCCCACCTCTCTTTCCATCTCTCTTCCTCCTTGTGTTTTCCTCATCTACAGTTCTCTCACCACCTCTGCCCTCCTGTCTCTTCCCACCACCTTCCTTCCATCCTTCCCTCCACTTTCCTTCTCTTCTCTTCTTCCACCTCTCCCCCTACTTCTTTCCACATTTCTGCCTTCCATCACTTTACCCAGATACATAGCCCATCTCTTCTCCCATCTTTATTTTCTACCAACTTTCTGCCCACCCAATCTCCACCCCATAGCCTGTCCAGGACAGATACCCTCAGATATCCTTCCTCTCTCTCCTTCCCAGTGACTTACCCCCAAGCCCTCCAGTGTGCCAACATCCAGCTACGATCAGATAAGGAGTGTCGTCAAGCCTACCCGGGGAAGATCACTCCCAACATGCTCTGTGCTGGCACAGAAGAGGGTGGCAAGGACTCCTGTGAGGTGAGGCCAAGGAGCGGCAAGCACGTCGTCACGGGCTGGGAGGGGAAACCAGGGTGGAAGTGGGGACCTACGCTCGGGGAAAGGATTTGCTTCCAGCCTGAGCGGAGCCAGTCTTTGCAAGGTGAGACATCTCCTAGCATAGAAGGGCAAGATAAAAAGGCTGACAAATAGAGTTCATCTTAAACCTGGGCTTTGACTGACAGTGGCTGCCCAGGTCCTTGTGTCGAGATGTGTAAACGCCGGGATTCTTTTGGTTGCAAGCAACAGAAACCCAACTCAAACCAACTCAAGCAAAACACTGACTTTTGTGACTGAAAAGCCCAGAGGTGTCTTGTTTCAGGCACAGGGATCGAGGTACACAAATAATGTTGGGGCCTGTCTCTCTTTAATTCTCAGCTCTTCCCTCCTTTTTTGGCTTCATTCTCAGTTAAGCTTCTTCCCATATGATAGCGAGATGGCCCCAGCAGCACTGGGCTAACATCCCGCCCTCGAAGGACCCTCCTGGAAAGAGAGGACATCCCTTTTCCAACAGTGTACACAGGCATCTTGAGCTTCATTCTCACTAAGCTGTCTTAACTACAGCTGACCCTTGAACAACACGAGTTTGAACTGCACGGGTCCACTTAGGCTCGGATATTTTTTCAGTAGTAAATACGGCAGTACTACAGGGTCTGCAGTTGACCGAATCTGCGGACGAGGAGCCGCGGAGACTGAGGACTGGAGTGTCCTGAGGGCCGACTGTAAGTTGTAGGAGGATCTTCAGCTCTGCGGAGGGTCAGCGCCCCTGTCCCTTGCACTGTTCAAGGGTCAGCTGTAGTGTACCCTGAGCCACCACTCTGGCCAGATCCGTGGGATTCTCTGGTGGACCGAGTCTGAGTCCCACAACTAATGGTGGGGGTGGGTAGGGGCAGGGACAGGTTGCGTGGATTGAGAGTGGGAGAGGGGTCATTTCCCAAATGAAAAAATCAGGAGGCTGTTATCGAAATAAAGGGAAATGGATACATGGGCAAAAACAAAGAAACAAACAAACAGACAAACAAACAAAAAACAACCTGTCCAATAGAGGACGCTTCTTAGATTGAGTTTTGGTTCCGTGGGAAAGAGAATGACCATGAAGTCATGATACATGCCTTATCAATTAGGAACGTCTGCCCTGGGCCCAGAGAGAGAAGTGCCAGCACAGGGGTGTTGCACACCGTACCCAGATGTGACTGATTAACTTAATAACAAGCCTGATACCAAGGAATTGCAAGCCCGAAGCAAGGCTCAGGGTTAGAAGAGGGAGGTGCAAGGTGGGATTTGGGGCCAGAGAACCAAGAACAGGTGATGAGGTAAGTTGTCACCACTTTAATGACACTGAGGAACAGGAAAACGGAGAGACACAGAAGTGTCTGTCTGTCTGTCTGTCTGCCTGTCTCTGTATCTGAGTATCTACCACCATCTTTCTATGTCTCTCTTTTCCTGTCTCTCTGTCTCCTTATCTCTGTTTCTCACTGTTGCTCCCTCTCACCCACTCTCCGTATTCCTGTCTCTCTTTATCTCTGCCTCCATCGATGTGTCTCTCTCTGTCTCCATCTTTCACTCTCTCCCCACATGTCCCCATCTCTGCCTTTGTTTAGCCCCAACACGAACCCCTCCCTCTCTCCCCCACTCAGGGTGACTCCGGGGGTCCCCTGATGTGTAACGGAACACTCCATGGCATCATCTCCTGGGGAGACTTCCCATGCGGGCAGCCCAACCGGCCTGGCGTCTACACCCGAGTCTCTCAGTATGTTCCGTGGATCCACAAAACAATCCAAGGACGGAAAACCCAGGAGCAGAAATAGACGAGGGGCCCACAATGAAAATCGGGTTGGCTTACCTGCCATCTTACTTGGTCTGTCCAACGCTGCTCTGTCCCTCCCAAAGTGCTCCACTTGAACCAGTGATCCACGTTCTCAAAATGCCCAATTCCAGTGGACATTAGCTGTTTCAAAAGCATTCAGTTACTTTCAGCATCATCGTCTCCCAGACATTGCATCCCTGCAACATCCCAGTCCCCTGAACGTCCCAACCCAGACAATGTTCTAGGTCTCCCAACTGTTTCAACATAAACCTGGATCACCGACTCAATACTCTACCTGTGGAACTCTCTTAAATACCTCCATCAGCCTAGCTCAACAAGAGTCTATGTTCCATGAATGCAATGTCCTCAATGACATCCTATACCCCTTCAACTATTTATTCATTGCCAATATTCTAGATCCTTCTATGTTTTGTACTCAAGAAGGTTCTAGACTCCCATGACATTTCTTCCTGAAAATATTCTCTTGTGTGTATATTCGTCTACCCCAACAACACTGTATGCACCTCTGATTTGTCATGGCCAACGCTGGGTCCTCACAATGGTTCATTCTTTCAAATGAACCCAGGAAATTCCTGGGGACATTTCTGGATCTCCCAAGTTGTCCCATTCCCACCTACATTCCACATTCTGCCAGTATTCCCTGTCTCTGAATCTCCTTGCTCACTAAACATCAGCACACTCTAAACTCCAGGGTGATGGGGTTTGCATCCCAAGTGGCATGGAGTATCTGTCCCTCCATGCCTGGAACCTCTTGTCCACCAAGTATTCTGTACTTTTATCCAAAGCATCCTTGTTCAGTGCCCCGTGCTGTTACATATTTGTCTATGACCCCAAACTGCTGTGGTTAAATGCTCAGCCACAGGAATCCTTACTTTGAATAAGTCATAAAACTCACAACCTCTGTTTTTTCATCTGTAAAATGGAGCTCATAATTTTCCCCATAGCATTGTTATGAGGATAAATGTTAAGCACTTACCACTGTTAATATTTCTGTGGTTCCCTATAAAATACTACCTTAGGCTATTAATAACAACTCCTCAAATTTGCAGCATCCAAAAAGTGTTGTGTTCATTTATTTTTCTCAGTAGACATTTATTTATTGCCAACCTTGTGTAAGTACTTTCCTGGGTGTTGGCAAATACACCTTTGTTTATTCAAGAAGCATTGGTACATGTCACAAGCCAAGCACTGTTGCAGACGCAGGTAATAAACAATGAATTAAACTGACAAAAACTTCTGCCCTTGTAGAGAGTACATTCTTTGCAGGGAAGCCCAGGTTAAAAAAAGATGAATAAACAGAAGAACTGTCAGGTGGTGATATGAACCATGGCAAAAAAAAAAAAAGGCAGGAATGAAAGGCAGGGAATGTTGGGTTGGAGAAGTGGGTGAAATTGCTCTTTTAAATAGGTTGGTCTGGGAAGAAGACCTAACTGAAATGGTGACACTTAAAGACTGAAAGGATGGAGAAAGGGAGTCTGGTGCACATCTGGAGAGCAGCATCCCAAGTGGAGAATACAGCAAGTGCAAAGGCCCTGAGGCAGGAGCCTACCTGTGAAGAGGGTGAAGAGGTCGGTGTGGAAACAACTGCAATAGCCCAGGTGGGAAGTGATGATGCCCAGACCAGGGTGACATCCTCGGAGGAGTTAAGAGGTCAGATTCTGGATCTGTTTGAAGGGATTATTAGACAGCTAAGTGGTAATAAACTGCCCTTAGGAGAATCACAGAATGCAAACAAATAACTGCACATTGTGATGATTTCTGTAATAAATGTGATCCTTGAAGGACATAAACAAGGCTTTGTGTTAGAGAATTAGGGAGGAATGCTAATTTAAGTAAAGTGGTCAGGGAGGGCTTCTTGAAGGAAGCGGTATTTGGCTGAAGATCTTGAGGTGAGAAAGAGCCACTTTTGCAAAGAATAGGGGGAATATCCCTAAAAGAGACAGGCACCAGGGCACAGTCCCTGAGTTTAACTTATTCCAGAATCTGTGGGAAGGCCAGTGTTATCTTGAAGTAATGGCCAAGTGCCTCTGTAAGGAAGGAGACTAGGGGATTCAACAGAGAAAATACATATGCAGGATCTTTTCTGGCTGTGGTACAGTTTGGTCTTTCTTCCAGCATGATGGGGAGCCCTTGAGAGTGGTGAACTGGGGGAAGGATCCAATCCGAGATTATACCATCATTCTGGCTGTGGGGTGGGAGGTGAAGACAAGACGGTGGGGGCATGGAAGCAGAGAGACTAATCTGGGGCAGACCGGGCAGTGACTGAGTGGGCAAGGGAAGGCAGTATCTTGGGCCAGGAGACATGAAAAGACATGGATGGATTGGAGAGAGAGTTTGCAGGAACATCAAACCCGCCTAGTGTTACGATTGATTCTCATTCACAGTAGTCATGGTCTGTAAAGTCACTATGGGCACTGAATTCAGGATACTGAACCAGTGCCTCCCAGGAGACATACAGGCTGAGTTTCCCATGAGCTTCTGGTCACAGTGTTTTCACCAACTAATCAATATGTCATCTGGCTTTATGGGTGTTCCTGTTTAAAGACACGTTACTTATTATATGTTGCTGATTCATTCACATTGAACTCAAGGCCAACAACACTGTAACTTGTGCCTGAAGGAAGCTCATCTTACACGTGTATTTTCTCCGTAAGGCACTTTGCAGCCTGCTTGTGCTTAAGGGCACTAGTCAACACTTCAGGTGGTATGCTGGGGGTTGGGGAGCATTTTAAACAGGTGAATCACCCAGAAAAGTCACAAACATGCAAAACATGGCACTAAGTAGACGGTGAAAAGGACACCTGTTTATAGTGTGAGAGCTGAATGGAGGAGGCGACTCAAACTTTCACCACTCTGAGCATGTCTGCGAATGGCCGCTAAAGCCCCTCAAGTGTTGGTTTTGGGGCTACTGATAAATTTTGGTGAGTAGGCAAATTTGCAAATATGGAATCCCTGAAGGTGAAGGGACACAGGTCACGGGTGATTCTTCCATCATCCTTGGTTCCGTCAGGGGGAGACTCTATGTTCCTGTTTAAAAGCAAAAGAGAGTGGCTTGCGAAGGATCTGGTTTTTGGGATGAAGAATCTTTATCTTCTAGGGGCCTCAGTTTCCTCTTCTGATACTAATAGGACCTCCTGTGCAGGGCTATTGGTCGATTGAGCGAAAGACTGATGTTTAAAAGCTCTGCACTCAGCAACTTCTGAGTTGGAAACCCCCATTGATGGAGAAGCCGCATGCTGTAGTGAAGAGCATGGTTTCTGAGGCCAGGCCGCCTGAATTTGAATGCCAGCTCTGCCACTTATTTAGCCATGTGACTTACCTTCTCCATGCCTCCGTCTTCCTGTCACTCAAATGGGTATAACAAAGATACTATTAGTGAAAAAAATGAATCAATAGTCAATCTAAGAAAGAAATGGGAAGTTTTATTTGTGCCAACCTGAGGATTAGAACCCAGGAGACAGCCTTTCTGATAGTTAGAGGGCTATTCTGCCTATTAGAGGTCAAAGCACGGTTGTGTAAGTTTTCGAGACCAGTGGGTATACGTCAAATAACCTGTCATTAACAGTTTACAGGATTCAGATCTACATGCACAAAGCCAGTAGGGGGTCATGGGTCATCGTGGCCCCCTCAGAGGACTGAGAAGGAAGGTTATCTCCCAAGGAGGTCTGATTAAGCAGATGCACATAATACTCTAATGGGGAGGGGGGCACCCGTAAAATTGTATGTTTAAATTTTCTTGTCTTGCCATAAAATACGAATTTTATTTCATCAGTATTTAATACCAAATGGCTTTAAGACCTAAAAGCGAAAGGTCAAACTATAAAGTTCATAAAAGATAGTGGCAGAGAAAAATTGTGATGACCTAAGGATGAGGCAGGACTTTTTAAAACCTCAGAAGGACTAATCAGAAGCAAAAGTTGTTTACTTTGATTACATCAAAGCCAAGGATTTCTGTTCAACAAAAGAACACGGAAAGGGTTGGGGGGTGGGTATAGCTCAGCAGTAGAGTGTGTGCCTAGCATGCACAAGGTCCTGCATTCAATCCTCAGTACCTCCATTAAAAATAAATACATTTTTTAAAAGAAGATAACATGGACAAAGTAAATAGATGGGTGATGGCCCAGGAAAAGATATCTGTATTGTGCAATGTTGGCCCAGGATTGTTACCTCAAATGTGCAAAGAAATCCCACACATAAATAAGAAAAATGTTAAAGGATATGAACAATATGTTTGTAGAAGAGGAAATACCCCAAATCATGTGGAAAGATGATCAGACTCATGAATTATCTGAGAAATGCAAATAGAAATAACATATCACTTTGTATTTATTAGATGGATTGAAGATCTTTAAATAACCCCAAACATTGGCAGGGACTCAGAGACACAGGCACCCTAGTGCGCAGCTGGTGTGAATGCAAATCAGTGCAGTTGCTTTGGAATGTAATTTGGCACTCCTCGGTCAAATTAGCGTGTACACATTCTAGTAGTTCTACTCCTGGATGTCTGTCCTAAGGCAGGGACCGTGCAGGTCACAAAGGGGCAAATGCAAAGTGTCGGTCACTGATCGGTTTGCTGTGCTGGGAATTAGAGGAAAGCCAGGTGCCCAGTAAGGAGGTTGTGGATGGTAGGATGTGGTGGAGACTAAACAGCAATTAAAAGCAACCGATTAGGGGGAGAATATAGCTCAAGTGGCAGAGCACATGCTTAGCATGGATGAGGTCCTGGGTTCAATCCTCAGTAACTCCTCCAAGAATAAATAAATAAACATAATTACTTCCCCCCACCAAAAAAAAAAATCAACAGATCAGATATAACGCAGAGCAACACAAACGGAATCTTAAAGGCATAGTGCTACCAACCGTGATGGTGAAAGTTAAAGCAAATGACAGTACTGAGTGCTGGCGAAGATGTGGGGCAACTGGAACACTAATACACTGCTGGTGGCAATGCAAAACGGTGAGACTAATTTAAAAAAATTTGGCAATTCCTTATAAAGTTAAGCAAACACCCAGTATACCATCTAGCAATTCCACTTCTAGGTGTGTGCACAAGAGAAATGAAAAACAAATGTCCACAGAATGATTTGTAGATGAGTATTCACAGCGGCATGATTTGTCATAGCCAGAAGCCGGAAGCAACCCAGATATCCCACAATTGGTGAATGACTAAACAAAGGGTGGTACTTCCAAACTGTATAGAACACAGCTCAGCGATATAAAGGAATCAATTGTTCACAGATAAATGCAAAAACGTGGATGAATCTAAAATGCATTATGCTAGTGAGGGAAACCAGACATTTATACGATGGTCTGAAAAAGGCAAAGCTACAGTGGCAGAGAGTAGGTCAGTGACTGCCTGGGGTTGGGGTGCGGAGGGGAACTTTTTGTTTTGTTTTTGTTTTGGGGGAGGTAATTAGGCATTTATTTGTTTTGATGGAGGTACTGGGGGTTGAACCCAGGACCTTGTGCATGCTAGGTGCATGCTCTACCACTCAGCTATACCCTCCCCCAAGGGAGAGGAACTTTTGCGAAAGGAACACAAGGCAGCTTAAGGATGGGGGTAAGTTGAGTGGGACTGTTCTATGTTTTGATTATAGTGTTGTTACACGACTGCATCTAATTTCCAAACTTCATCAAGTTGAACACTTTAAGCGAATGGATTTTTGAGTTTATGTAAATAATACTTAATTTTAAAATGAAAAAGCATGATTCTGAGCTAGGAAAAAAAAAGAATAAGTTATGTACCACAGCACCACTGACATAAATTAAAATTACACAAAACAATACACAATTTGTTTTGCACACAAAACCATACACAATTTGTAAGAACATACACCAATAACATATACATATGTGTGTGTATATATATACAACATGGTGAATATATTAAATTCCACTGTGCATTTTAAATGGTTAATTTTACAATATGTAAATTTCACCTTAATTTTTCAAAAAAGCTGTATGAGAAATATAATAGCAGAGGATACACAATAATAAAACCAATAGCAAAGGACATTCAATAACAAAGATAATAGCAAAGAGGCACAGTGGGAAAGGCA